AGTGGGAGGGGAGGAAGGAGAGAGAGAGAGAGGGAGAGAAAACATCAATTTGTTGTTCCAGTCATCTATGCAGTCGCTGGTTGCTTCTTGTATGCCCTGCCCTGAGATCGAACCCACAACATTGGTGTATTAGGACGACACTAGCCATTGAGCAACCCGGCAGGGCTCAGGCCTGTTTCTTATGGTGAGTGCTGAAAGCTGAAGGCTGCAGAGAAGCCAGTTCCCCTTTGGGGAGAGTTGAGTAACAGCCACCCAGAGACAGCCGGAGCCATCCAGCTCCAGGCCAGTCACCGAAGCTTCTCTGGTCCGCCCTCAACTGCTGCTTCAGCTACTACAGGGCGGGGACGCCACAGCCTCCAGCGGTTCTCAACCTTCTGGCCCTTTAAATACAGTTCCTCATGTTGTGACCCAACCATAAAATTATTTTCGTTGCTACTTCATAACTGTAATGTTGGAACTGTTATGAATCGTAATGTAAATATCTGATATGCAGGATGGTCTTAGGCAACCCCTGTGAAATGGTCGTTCGACCGCCAAAGGGGTCGCGACCCACAGGTTGAGAACCACCGGCCCTTGACAAAAGGTAACTGAGGTCACTACTGGGAGAGGACCTCGGGGAAGGGGCACCTTCCATGGGCTACTTAAGAGTTGTCCATAGTGTTGAATTTGTTACAAGATACATGTGTTACTGATAAAATTAGGCAAAGCGACCTTACCCAAAGACCAGCCCCAAGTACTTTCCAACTGAGTTTACCCAGCTGGCATTATTACCAGCCAAGCTTTATGCCAAAAAAAAAAAAAAAATCACTTCTAATCCTGACCCGCGAGGGAAGGGCCATAATCAACCTTGCTTCTCAGAGGACATTACAGAAACTGAACGGATTACATGCCCAAGGTCATGCCTAGGAGTTGGCAGACACTCAATCTTAACCGCGACAGTCCCGGCGGCTCACAGCCACCCTGCCTCTTCCACTGACTCAGAGGCTCTGGGCAGGAAGGGGTCTGAATCAGAGGTCAGCCCAGGGTGCTGTTGGCAGGGCCCGAAGCGTGGAATTAGCCCGATGTCCTGGTTCACAGGGCCCAGAGCTTGGAAAGGAGAAGTGACACATCAAAGCTGACACCAGGAGTGAGTGGCAGGGGTGGGGGTGCCCCCTCCTCCACAACGGCCAAGTGCTTCTACCGAGCGCCAAGACCGAGCCCTCTGCAGAGAGCTAGGGACACGGGGGCACCCTAAAGAACAAGGCAGGGCAGACAGTCACGCTCAGGGAGCTTCGGTCCGGCTCCAGGAGCAATGCCAGTCAGCACACAGCCATGGTAAGAAAGATGCCTTCTCATCTGCAAGGATTAAGATGACAGAGCTCCAAGGGCAGTTGCAGAAACTACTCTTCTCACTCTTCCTAAGCAACCACTTCTGACTCAGTCATCCCGGATATTATCAGGCCCCTCTCCATTCTGCACGCAGAGTGCCAGAACGGGCTCCATTACCCTCAAGCAGCAACAGGTTGCCTCCAGAGAGTCAGGCCACACCCACCCCCTCACCAGCTTCCAAGAATCATGAATCAGAAGGTAAGAGACCTGCCTGACCACACAGCAAAATGCACTGTCATCAAAACAGCACAACACTGCCCTGCTAAAATTAAGCATAGCTCTCAGGTGGTATGGCTCAGAAGTTGAGTGTTGACCCAGAAACCAAGAGTTTACCAGTTCAATTGGTTTGATTCCAGGTCAGGGCACATGCCCGGGTTTCGGGCTCGATCCCCAGCAAGGGTATGTGCAGGAGGCAGTCGATCAGTGATGTTCCTCTCTCCTTCTCCCTCTCTCTCTAAAAATAAAAAATATATATTTTAAAAATATTTAAAAAATATAAAAACCAGCATGACATTGGCTTCAGGAAAATGTCCAGAGGGAATCCAGAAATTCCAAGAACACACGAGAATGTGATGTAGGTTGAAGGTGGTATTGCTATTTTACAGAAAATGTATAATTTGCCTTGTTGATTTGCCCGGAAGACAGAGCCTGAACCCTACTTCCAACCATATACTAGAATAAATGCCAGAGTGATCACATATTTCAGTGTAAAAATAAGAGTAGAAGATGAAAATGAGTATCCCCACAAAGATCTGAATGAGACGATTCATAGTAGTTCTATTCATCATTGTCCCAAAATTGGAAACATCTCAAATGTCCAGCAGTAGTTGAAAGGATAAACAGGCTGGTATCCTATATAATAAAGAGATAATATGCAAATTCACCGTCACCCTCTCGCACAAGGTGGCCACCCCCATGTGGTCACAAGATGGCTGCCCTCATGTCATCACAAGATGGCCACCACAAGATGGTCAGCAGGGGAGGGCAGTTGGGGGTGATCAGGCTGACAGGGGAGTGGTTAGGGGGCAATCAGGCAGGCAGGCAGGTGAGCGGGTGGGAGCCAGCAGTCCTGGATTGTGAGAGGGATGTCCAACATCCCCCGAGGGGTCCCAGATTGGAGAGGGTGCAGGCTGGGCTGAGGGACACCCCCCACCACCCAGTGCACGAATTTCGTGCACCAGGCCTCTAGTATCTTCATAAGGGAATACAACTCAACATAGAAAGGAACAAACTGCTGATAGATACAACATAGACTCAAAGGTAGTAAACTGAGTAAAAGAAGCCAAATCAAAAGGCTACGTATTGTATTATTTTGTTTATGTGACTTTCTGAAAAAACATAAAGCTATAGGAAATAAAAACAGATCAGCCGAAACCGGTTTGGCTCAGTGGATAGAGTGTCGGCCTGCGGACTGAAAGGTCCCCAGTTCGATTCTGGTCAAGGGCATGTACCTGGGTTGCGGGCACATCCCCAGTAGGGGGTGTGCAGTAAGCAGCTGATCGATGTTTCTCTCTCATCGATGTTTCTAACTCTCTATCTCTCTCCCTTCCTCTCTGTAAAAAATCAATAAAATATATATTTTTAAAAAGTTATGATCTTGCTCTTCTTACTCTTAGGACAGCAGTCTCTTTCTCTTAATTAGCAATCACTTTATTATCCAGCTGCCATTCTCTCAATCTCTAGTGCATTAGTTATGCA